GCCAATCATGTTCGAGGAATAGGCGGCCATGCGCGGCGATGCCGGTTTGCCAATGATATCGTTGAAAAATCGTCAACTTTCATAATAAGCAGATTATACAGAATGAAAGAAATAAGTTATTAAACAAAACATATTGAACAATATGAACTACGTTAAAATTCCTTAATAATATACGTCAGAATATATGCTAAACACATTATATATAATAAAAATATATTAAATTTATAGTTCATGTCTGGCAATTTTGCAATTTTATAGATAAACGTGGCAATATCGATTTTTTTTTCTCGCATTCCTTCCGTAGCTTCAGATCCGCTGGTCAAACAGTATATACTAGTTTTGTACGATATTCTCCGATGGTGGCAGCACTGGCGGAAAATGCACCAAGCCTATACTTAAGAAGAAATGGTAGTACTAATCGAATTTTTTTCGAAACTACGTATTACGAAAATTACTTTAAACATTTTGCATATTGTCGTAGAAAATATAAATTTTTAAAACTTACCCATCCTTGACAATAAATATATTTTAAAGTATAGAAAAGAGGGGCGGAAAAATCGATAATTCCAAATGGCGAATCCCGAGTTGTAATGAGGAAAACATAAGACAACGATGGTAAATTACAAATCAGGCAGTACCGTAAAAGGCCACCATCGATCAGTTAGTCGGCCAGTTAGTTGTGTCGGTACTGCACGATGGCTATTCCAAAAGCAAAATCGATAAAATATGTAACGTCTATTTGAAATTTTGATCAGGAGAACATGAGTTGTTATAGATGAAAATGGTCAAAAAGGATAGACCCAAGAATTTCGAAAAGATTATTTTGCTTTGCTTGTTTGTAAATGACTAAAAATTTAAAAAAGCTAATATATTTTTTAAATCAATAATTACAGAAAAACACCAAATATTTACTTAAATACAACATTAACAAAGTTTTAGAATATAAACAGTGGTAAAGTTTACAGAGGCAGTAGTGTGTGTGTTAATTTTTATTACGTCTAATCGTAATTAGTGTACGACCAGAACTTACATCTATAATCTATGTAGAATTATTTCATATCTTAAAAATTGTTTATTAAATACTTTGTATGAAACTGAATACATATTAACCCCAGCAGGTTATTTTTCAAAATTTTATAAAATATGCACTAATTTAATATTTTTTGTATTTGACCAAAACATATTCAAGCGAATGACAAAATTATTTGCCACCTGCAGGATGATTACGAACGAGTATCTTGAAGTCCGTTTTTTTATTAGGATAGCAGAAAGAATGAAAGGTTGTTTCAGTAGAAATAGGTACCAAAAACTGAAATGAGTTAATTTTAAACTGAACTGTTTTCGACTATTTATAGTTAACTTCAGTGCCGGACTTAGGCCTAGGCCAACTAGGCCCGGGCCCGGGGCGGCAAATTTTGAGCATACCAAAATATTTATCTTTTTTTTTAACTTTTATTTGTTCATAAAATATTTCGTATATAGCCTTAGCCGATTACATATTTTTTTACTTAACTATTATTATTGTTTAAATATATAATTCGTTTGGGTTATTTTTTTACTGCATTGTACTAAATACATAAATACCTCGAATATAAAAAAATAAATTAAAAAACATTAAAAAAATTATCACAAACACGTTGATCTGCACGAAATGAAGCTTGCCAATCACTCTCTTTGTCTTCCAATGAAATAAAATCCACGTTGGAGCAGTGCCTTCTATTAAAAGATCAGCCTACGGGCGAGATTTATGACGTCACGTTAGTTAGATATAACGGATTAATAAATATGTTGTAGAATACACGGAAAACATAATTATTCCTCAGATTTTTGGTTTGTATTTTAAAAACGATATAGTTTACATGAAATATACGTAATATACAGTTAATAACTACAACATATATACCTGTTTATAGTAATAAATACTTTGGCAAATAAACTGTGAACCATACAAATGCAGCAAATGTTTTACAATGTACATATAATGTATAGGTACATAAGATAATGGGTAAAATGTAAATATATTTTAAATTTTGGGGTTTGAAAATCGATCTAATTTAACAAAAAACATTCAATATCTACTAATAGTGATGTATTATTATTTGCATTCACAAAATTTATATGTATATTTTGCAATCAATGTTTGAAAAAAAATATCAATGTTCGAAAAATTATATTTACAAATAATACAATATTATCTAAAAAAAGGCGTCAGCGATCGCTATGAAATGAAGATCGCTGGCATTTTATATGTAAAATTATTCTAAAATTTTTGATTTTCTTGGGATTTTTAGGTTCGGGAAAAACGCTGATTTAAGATTTCATTTGGGTTTTCATTATTTTTATTTGGTTTAAAAAAACGTTTCGGCTAACTATAGCCTTCATCAGTGTTGTGTCATATGAGAAAAATCGTGTCGAATATAATCCAAAAAAATACATATACAATATAATTCAAACCTCATAATGTTTACTGCAATTAATAAACTAATATAAACTTATCAAAAGATGACCACATATTTTTTAAATCATTATTCTTAACACTAAAATTATCTACATTGACTATGGAGTATGCAGTAAACATTATGTGTGTGATGTGAATATTTTATATGTAATTTTTTGGATTCAACACTATTTTTTTCATATGACACAACACTGATGAAGGTTATAATGTTAGCCGAAACGTTTTTTTTAAACCAAATAAAAATAATGAAAAACCAAATGAAAACTTAATCAGCGTTTTTCCCAAACCTAAATCCCAAGAAAATCAAAAATTTAGAATATTTAGAAACAAGGTTCAAGAATATCAAATTTTCAAGATTGTAAAATTCTAGTTAATTATTTTATGTGTACAGTTATTTAGGGAATGTCATCGATGTTCATTTCCAAGCCAACTAGACGCCGATTTTTTCGATGATACGGTATAATTCTTACGTAAAATGTAAATAACATTAGACCAATTAAAACAAAGAAATATGAATTTCTTAGTATTTTTAGTAACACCTTTATTCTTAAAACTTAATTTTGTATTATGCAAATATACCAATTTTATTGTTATTTTATTCATATTGTATTCAGCCATCACTTAAATATTTGATATTAATTTGGTATTATAAGTAATCAACACTATTCATTAAAAATTACTGAACAAATATATGTTATGCTTGACATACATTATATATTATCAAACAACAACACACTCTTCTTTTAAACTGTATCAGTCTTGTCTTTACAAAAATCTTTTTTAAAATTTGAACTCAAAATAATAATCTTTTTCATGATCTTTAATACACATATTCTTTATTTTTCCCTAGATCATAATACCTAGTTACGTGTTTGAATCTATCGAAGCTGAACCAACAACACTTGGAGTGGAGATTCCACAATATGAATAAAATAAACATAATTGTCCAGTTTTCATTAATACTATCATGGGAGAATATTATTTTTGAAAATATTAAAGATATTTTCAATAGAATTCTCTTGATTTATAACTCGTACCCACTTTTCTTGCTCTTCCGGACACTTTAGACTGCCTAGTATAACTATCCTTTCCACCAGGAACACAACAAAGATGAGGCATAGCACCAAAAACACACTCCACTTAAGGTTTATTGATGAATTGTTAGAGTCTTAAAAAACACACACAAAAATCACGATGAGTAAAAAATGTATGGGCACTTTTAGGTTAAATCACTTACACAACGTGTAATTTTTCAATTTCTCTATTTTTTTATGCGAAACCGAGAGTGACCATATATCTAGTAGTAGTTTATGTCACTTAAACACCAAAATAATTAGTTTTTTGCACTACAATAATAAATAATACCAAAAATCATAGAGTTAAAACCAAAAATCAACCTACAAAATATGAAACGGAATCTAACCCAATCCAATATCTAAGTATGTACAGCTGATGAAGTAAACAAAAGTCCGCCCCCAGGCTGATCTTTTAAAGAACGGCAGTGGTTGGAGTTAATTTCTGAAGACGATACCGAAAAGCCTAAAACCCGATTAGATGCTTCTAGTCTCCTTAAACAATTTAAAAGCCTAGAAATGGGTTTTATGGCGTTATTTTGGACAGACGTTTTAAATAGATTAGATGCGGTCAATAAAAAGCTTCAAATGGTGGATAGAATATGCGGCAAATAAAAAGAGAAAAGTGAAACGGAAACGACAATTTGATGAAACCAGTAATAATGAAACTCTATTTAACACTAGGGACGATTTTAGGATAAATGTATTTAATGTTGTTATTGATAAATTAATCCTTGAAATTTCCTACAGGAAAAGTGCCTACAATGAATTTTCAACCAAATTTGGTTTCTCTTTAGTGATTTATCTACTTTAAGTATTGACGACATTACCGATAAGTCCAGACATTTAATAACCTGTTATCCAAATGATTTAGATGAGTCAATGCCTAATGAATTAATACATTTTCGTGAATTTATAAAATGCATTAAGTCAGCAAAACCATCTGCTAGAGAGCTTCTTAAAGTCATTAAGAATCTTCACATGTACTTTTATTACTAACTGTTCTTCTGAACGCTCGTTTTCTGCATTGAAACGTATTAAAACTTATTTACGGTCCACTATGGAAACAGAACGTCTAAATCATTTGGCTGTTTTACATATTGAGTCCGACCTTTTAAAAACTATCAATTACGACGAAGTAATTGATAATTTTGCGAACAAAAAAGTACGTAGGAAACCTTTATAGGCATATAAGCAAACCTTATAGTTTTATTGTTCGTTTGTTGTCATTTTATATGAATATTTTAATATTTATTTTATGTTCTGTGTTGATCTGTTCTGTCGGTCTATTCTGTTGTTGGTCCTGTATTCCAATAAATGTTTTTTTATATCCGTAATTTTTTTAATTAAAAAAAATGTTAAGGGGCGGCAATTTTTTATGGGCTGGGGCGGCAACTTCGTTAAGTCCGGCCCTGGTTAACTTAAAGGAAAAATAATCTTGCCAATGTATCTATCTAAAAATGACTTACGTATCGAAGAGCTTCCATCATTTCTTTCACTGTAAACTTGTGAAAATAGTACCACTAAATGTAAAACAGCGTACGTTTTTAGAGGCATATTTTGCTATTCTTACAACTAGAGCGGAAGTACTACTGAAGATTTTTGCGTAGATTAGCGGAAATTGCATCTTAATCCCACGTGCATATTTTTATACGAATTAATAGAGTACTTACACGATGGTCAAGCTTTAATTTTCATTCTGAGCATAAAAAATTCGCGCCGGGAGGCACGTATAGCCGCCCATACTAAAATATGTTCATAAAAAGTTGGTAGGCAGTTCTTTTACTTTCAAAGTAAAAGAATTTTTCCAATTTTTTTTATCTCAAAAACTACGGCTTTGACTGATTTTCATGTTATTACAAATTTTGTTGCAAATATTATTCCTAATCTTAAATTGAAAACCGCGTTTCGCTAGCTACTGTAATTTTGAAGTTAATCCAGTGATATTACGATTTAAACCCGACAAAAATCAGAAAGTTTTGAAAATTGGTATGTATATTGGGGATAGCATGAGGATTACTAAACCGAAAAGTTCCCACCCCTAAATAGTGTGCGTCATCCCCCAGGACGTCGTTTCTACCCCCATTTTGAGTTTTTTTAGATAATCTCGGCAACGGTGCAATTCTCGACAAAAATACTTATATAGAAAATTGTTCTTCATAAAATTCTCTATCAAAAAAATAATTACATTTTTTTTCTAAAGTTAATAATAAAGTGACAAATAGGGTGCAAATATAAGGGTTGGTTGTGACTAGCACTATCTGCAGTTCAATCTAAGATGTGTAAGGTCTTTTCAATATAAAAAGACTCAGCAAGGCAAACATACGTATAAGATTCATCACAGAACTTTGCAAAAACATTACAGCAATTAGAAGAAATGTTGAACAATAATTGCCTGGAATTTGATATCTATAGGAAAAATACCACTACACGCAAATATATATTCCTAATGAATCGTATCATACATTATGTTGAACATAAAATGGCTAGTTCATATAGATTACTTAGTTTTCCACTTACCAACGAAAGATATGAAATTATGAAATAGAAAGAGTTTTAAATAACTAGTTGATAAAATAATTAGAAAACGTAGGTATAGGTTAATGATTTCTGAAAATTCGACTTTTCAAGTGGAGAAAGATATGTCAAAATATTTTTCAATACCGTTTAATAGAGAGCTATCCCGTGGTCTAAAAGGAATTTTTAAGAATGTCAGTTATAAACTTGTGTATAGCGCTAATAATAAATTACAACAATTATTAGGTAATCCAAAGGATAAAACACCTCTACTGGAAAGGTCGGGTATTTATGAAATTTCTTGTAAAGATTGTAATCAGAAATATGTTGGGCAAACTAGAAAATCAATATTAACTAGAATTAAAGAACATTTAGCTCAGATAAGATATGGTAGACCTGATAAATCTTGCGTTGCCGAACATATTGTTGATAAAGGACATTGTATAGATCTTGATAACTTAAAATTACTTAAACAAGTCTCAAATTACAGGCAATTAGATGCATATGAAAGCATCAGAATTAATAAATGTAAAGATAGTGTGAACAGAGACAACGGTCCAATTCCTTCAAGTTCTTTGTTCCTACTACTCTAGTGGCGGAAATCTAACTGTTACGCTCGATGGGTTCTGACTCGGTTGGCTAGATCTTGCCACGCCCACTCTGTGTCCACTGAGCGAGTATATAAATGCTCCAATTGTAGATTGTATTTTAGTTTATAATCATCTGCTGATGATGCTAACATGGTTAGCGAAACGCGCGACCAGTGTAAAACTGAAAGTGTTTTGGTGTATTGTGGTGTGATTTAGTGTTTTATTTTGTTTTGAAGTAGTTTCCGTTTGGATTAATGCAGCAGTGTTTACAAAAAATAACTATTTAAAGACTTTTAGATTTACCCACTTTGAGATTGCATGGGTATATTGTATATATATAGAATTAAAAAGCATGCTTTCTTTGAAGTACTAATAGCCGTAAGTCGTATTCTTACTTAAATAAAGGATTTTTTTTAATTTTTCTCTGTCATATAAGTCCTTAAACAATACCTACTAGAATCAACTCGAATCATTCTATGAGTCTGACAGTTAGTGTCAGTAATTTTTGTATTGCATATTTTCATCCCCTTCTTTCTCTAATAATCAACCCTATGGTCTCTAATAATCAACCCTAAGTGCCGTTTATTATACTGTCCTAAATTAATAAGAAAAATGAATATAGGTCGGTGTATTTTATTTAAGTTAGGACCACCCTGTAAATTAAATCGCTTAATAGCTTCTAAACAAGAGATTTCCTCGTCCCTAGGTACTTTTTATTAGTTAATTCGAAAATCGTGGGTTTTTATGGAGATGAGATTTATTTCCTCAACTATGCGCTTAATGCCTTTGTTTTTGTTTCGCCGCTCGACCACGGTGACTCACACCGACCAAATTATTTATTTTGCAGGTCCAACAGCCTGTAAAACCACACACGGCGAACTACCAGCCTTTGTACCCCCCGCAGCAACAGCAACAGGTACCCCTGCAACAGGATGCTGATTTCCTTAGGCCGGTACCGGATGTTAGAAATTCGGGAAGGGCCCAGTATGTACCAGCGCAGAACTATCTGGATATGGCGAATCCCTGGAACGTAGTGAGGCAGCCTCAAGTCGGGGTTATGCCACAGGGTGTCTCTCAATATCAAGGTACGAACTAATATAAATACTTGATATTTGAGGAGCAGACTTACTAAATGCATTTTGTTCATTTTTTAAGATTTCCAACCGAAGGTGACATTGCAAACTATATACACAGAGTTACAATATGAGACCAGAAACGACGTGTTAAATACATTTTTTTCCATAGCAACTGTTAAAATTGCCATATATCTATCAAAAATAGTATATAAAATAGTACTTTAACCACAAGGGTAGATTAAATGATACTTTAACAGCGAGGATAAGTTAAAAACTTTATTTCTCCTCACGTTTTTAATTGCTTCCATTTTTGAAAAGTTTTGTATTACTTTTTATTTTTATTCGGGATATAAATGGAAGTAGTTTGGATATGGCGCACAGTGCTATCGATTTTTTTTGCAACTAAAAGTTAGGCGCTTAGAAAATTTGATTACATTTGTGTCATTTTTATTATACTTAGAGATTTAGTTGCGCATTTCGAAGAATTCAGCATATTGTCTATATACGTTTTTCTTAGTAAACATTGGGCTTTCATACAGTAAAATAAAATACTGCGACTTTTTGCGACTTTGCTGATAAAATGAGAAAAACATTCTTGGTTACTTCTAATTTGCAAATCAGTGATATACTAATGCGAGGTGTAAACCGCGATGGCATTGTTGTGTACAAAGCGATCGCATTAGTGCCATTAGCAGTATAGCCAGGTATAGCACAATTTGGCATTAGTAGCGGCTTTAGTGGTATGGGCATTGTACAAAAACATATTATTTATTTATTTCCTCTTTAATTGAAAATAGCAATCATTTATATAAGGTCTACATAAAAAAATTTCGATCAACTATCGGTATCAAATACCCCACTGTGTGGCGTTTGTCGCCTCAGCCTGAATATCTATTGGTAATTTACTTATTTCGTTTTGAGCCATTTCTGCCTCCAATTAAATCAGCAATCGACACGAAAGAGAATTAAAAAATATTGACTCAAAACTGACAACTAAAGAGACAGCTTTATTTATTTGTCAAATTACATAGAAACCAACGCCAACCCAGTACAATATTTTTTCTACTCGTAATAAATTTCTAGAAATAATAATTTCTGAATATTTTTTAAAACGAACGTAACTTGCTATGAAAAAAAAATATTGTTTTATACACGACGATAAAATTGCATTACCGTCGACCGAAAAATTTCGGAAAAAATACCATTTTATCGTTTTGTATAAAAAATAACTATTATCCCATTCGAATTAACTGGCGAAAATACATTAGACTTTCTATGTGCTGTATGTCCATTGGACCATTGGCGGTAGACAAACAAACAGAAGTATGTCCTTGTGAGCTGTGGATATACTGCCGTTTGTTTGTCATTGCCAGATGACGAGTTTTTTTTGTACTACAACTTCTCTATTTTTTTAATAATACTACTTAAAATAATAATGGAACTACGACTGATGGGGACTATATGTAGTTGGGGAAACGGACCGTGGTAGCACAAAAATAAAGAGAAATTTCACGTCTAAAGGACAGCCAAGAGTTTTTCCAATTTTTTCAGATATCATTAAAACTAGATTTTTCACATGTAGGTGTACTCTTTTTACGATTCCTTATCCATTCTTCAAGTATATTAGTTTTTCGGGAAGTATTTTGCAAAACGTTTCTTCAGTTTTTTTTGTTTGGCAAAATTCGAAAAAATGGATAAAATGCATCTAGAAAGTCTGCTCCTCATTTGCAATATGTACATACTTTTGCAATTATATTTTCAGATAATAGTGCTCAGATTTATGGAAATAAAGATGCCGTCTCACATATGGAAGGACAAAGGTATTAAAGTGTAGTTATGCCTAGCAAGCACCAAAAGTAAGCACAAATACCATACGATAGAAAAAAAAACGATGTCAAAGACGGTTGGGGAATAACAATCGATGATAGTTTTGGTGAGGTCAGGCCCTAGATGTTATTTCTGTGCCCGTTTTCTTTCTTTACTTTTTAACGGCACTTACTGCCAATTAAACTGGCCTTTAGAAGGATGTGATTTATTTTATATTGAGTAAAATTAATTTTAAATCGTGTAATTTAAAATTAGAGAAAACATATTTTTTTGGAACTAGATTTGAGTGTCTGGAAATGTTCTGTCTTATTTAATCCTTCTATAATTAGTGTTAATTTTTGACAAGTATTCTGTGTCTCAATTTTTAGAAAATAACGTCTAGAGATTGACCTCGCCAAAATTATCATCGATTGTCATTCCCCAGCTGTCTTTGATGCGGTTTTTTATTTGATCATACGGTACATTGTCATAGAACATTAAATTTTATCACATTGTAACTTCCTAAGATATGGACTTGGGTATATAAGCACTCGTCATGCGTTGATTTTATGCAATTTTATTGGTTTATTTAAAAAATGAGCTCTATTGAAGCTTTGATTACTTTTAGGAAAATCGACTGGCTGTCTAATAAATAAGCTGTGACCCATAATAAATACAATGTGATATTTAAAAAAAAACATCAATCATAAAATCTCCAAAATGATACGTGCTTGCTGGGTATAGTTTAAACAAAATATTTTATTGTTGATTAATATTTCATTAAATATTTTAGCCAAATGAAATATCAAGTTCCGGGTTATTATGGTGAAAATTACAGACAACCCATACAGCAAGAAAATTGGCCCATAGGTATGCTAATTTTTTATAGTGTATATGATCGCTGTATAAAAATCTGTTATTCAATTGATATGATCACAATTAAAACAGGCGATGAAATCGCTTCTTACATTCAAAATTCAAAGTTTCTCTGCATAAGAGTGACAGCTAGTGATGGTTATAACATATTCAATAAAAACATTTGGTAAATAAATCTTTGTGAAGCCATAGTTTTTTTTTAAATCTTATATTAATATTGGATAAATTTTATCATCAATCATTTCAAAGCCACTGTGACGTTTTTTTGGGTTATAAGTTATAAAATATTGAAGATAAATTATACAAATTCTGGAAATTTCTGATATTTTAGAAAAAAAATGCATTTTTTTGTAATTCAAACATATTTTCTTAAAGTAAAAAATTAATACAGCAATTTCATGTCCAAATTGATCATACTGTCTTAAATATTCTCATTTTTTACATAAAACTGTTTTAGAAGATCCTAGATACCCACCACGGCAACTCTATCATGATATAGAGAATCCAGCTGCGCCTGGAGTTCCTGGTAAAGTTTTCTTTTTCATTTTGCATTCCTTACGATACATTTTTTTATATTTCTAGATAAAACGGAAGGCTCGAGTCATGTAACCGAATCAATCCAAACCAAAAATACACTACCCAAGCCGATAGATCCTGGTAAATAAATATATTACAGTATAATTTTAGAAAATTGCAACGTACAATATACCAAGAACCTTTTTATGACTCTGGAGTAGGGTTGTCCAAGTTTTTTAGATGTCCGGATTGGTCCAGCTGGAATTTGAAAATCTAACCGTAAAAACAATCTAACTTGTTGAATAGGTTTATCGTTCACGATGTCACATATCTATCTAGTCAATTTTTCGTTCTCATTCTGTCATTTATTCACAAGTAAATTGAATTTTCTGTCATTTTTTAAATATCATCTGTAGAAATTTTGGGCGGATTTACCCAATTCCTTAATTGCTATTCCTTAATTCTTATTTCTTATTCGCTAAATTATAAAAAGATAAAATACGTGTTATGCAGTTAGTTTGCTTATACAATGTCTTAATCCTTAATTCTTAACCACGGTTCGTAATTCTTTATTTTGAAAGTTCCCAACTTTTAACTTTTTAGGAATTACGAATTAGCGATTAAGGAAAACGTGTAGATGCGCATGCGTGAAATGTTGAAATGTTAATTTTGTGTGTATTTTGTGAACTGTTGTTCGTCCCATTCAAAGGAAGGCATGTCTTGTATTAGAGTTCCAAAATTGCCTTCCATGTCCTTTCTTCTATTCATGGGGCGAACCCCAAATCGCCTACAACCTCGGTGGCGATTCACGAGTAGCGACACAACAAGCCATGGTTATAAACAAACCCGAAAGTGCTACAATTTTTTGTATGGACTTCATTGCACATAATAACACAACAGAAATAAAAACGATTTGATTTGATCTACTAGTGTCAGTTTTAAGAATTAAGAAATATGGATTAAGACATTGGATAACTGTCTCTAAAAAAATAAGGGATAAAGAATTGTGTATTAAGAATTACAAATTAGAGACTAAGAAATAAGAATTAAGGAATAGCAATTAAGGAATTGGGTAAATCCGCCCTTCTCTGGCTTGTGAAACAGACTTTAGCTCATTCTAATTTTATATGCAACGAGTAAATTGGTTTGAAAATTACGTGCTATATTTAATTTAACCAATCTGAAACGAACTAATAAAATGCTGAAAGCGTTCTCTTCTATTAAACAGGGATAATCCAATTCTGATGCCATTTCTAACGTATGAAGTACAAACCTTAGTCCTGCTCACAAAGGCAAAAGGGTATACTAAACAATTTTTGTACTGCCTAATTTTTCCTTTAATATGTATATCCGTCTGTTGAGCGAGTCTGGGAAGAATATAGTCAGACGACATCCAAACAATGACAGAAAATAGAATTTACCTGTGAAGTAAAATGACAGACAACAACTCCTACTGTCAGAGATTCTCCTCGGTCTGGATTTCATAGCTTACTTGTCCGGAATTTCCAAAAATTTGTATGGAAACCCTGTTCTGGAGGAATTTGCTAACTGTATTGGTATAATACAGGATGTCCCAGGCTGAGAGTGCATTAGAAATTTCTAAAGAACTACAATATCTAGATCGGAGATTTTTTGCACATTGTTTCACAATGAGATTTATCGATTAAACATACTTTCAATATGGCGGCACTTCCGGAAATACCGTAAGTTGGCAGCAACTTTCTTATTTTAAATGGGTACCCCAGTTTTTATTACATATTTAAATTATCTGTAAATGTTTATTAACTTTGATATCAAACACTCTATACCTAACATTAGAAACCTCTAATGTACGTTCAGCCTAATATAGTCTATAAAATGAATAACTTTGAATTTTGACCGTTATTTTTTACCAACATGGCAAATATAAAATCCCTCTGTCCAAAAAGTTACTGATATTCTTTAAAATGAGTGCCTGAACGAATCAGATAGGTAACTCTTTTTACTTTCGTGATATAGAAAAGGAAAATAATAAACAAGTGACAGTTCTTCCTCTTCTTGCAAAAATCGACGCGAAATGTCATAATTGACAAAAGTAAAATTTCATCAGCTTTTGACATTTCTAAATATCAGCTCAATGCCGTCTCTAATAGACAGCCTCGGAGCGAGATTTATGACGTCACGCTAGTTAGATACCACGGATTAATAAATATGTTGTAGAATCCATGGAAAACATAATTATTCCTCGTATTTTTGGTTTGTATTTTAAAAATGATATAGTTTACATGAAATATACATAATATACAGTTAATAAATACAATATATATATATACCTATTTATAGTAATAAATACTTTGGCAAATAAACTATGAACCATACAAATGCAGCAAATGTTTTACAATATACAAATAATGAATAGGTACATAAGATAATGGGTAAAATGTAAAATATATTTTAAATTTTGGGGTTTGAAAATCGATCTAATTTAACAAAAAACATTCAGTATCTACTAATAGTAAATTGTACTGAAGCTGTGGTTGGTTCCTTGTGAAACATGGTTGAAATATTAGTATTTTAATAAAGCACGCTTTTAGATGTTTCAAAAAACTTTTAATAAGAGTAACTTTAACTCTACATATATGTTTCGGCTTGTTAGGCCTTTTTCAAGAGTTTTTTAAGAACTGTTTTTAATCATTTCATCTTCATAACATACAAAAATGAGCCAACCCAACCTATTTCAGATGTGAATTCCAAACATGTACAAGAAAAACTAGCACACGATTTGAAACATTCGAAGGAGAATATGGAACATGGAAAAATTAAAACTAAAAGCGACGACTCCCGACAAGACCGATATCCAGACGTGGTCGCTTACAAAATGAACGACACCCAAGATGGACCTTCGCGTATTCCAAGAGGAGCCATACTTTCTTTAACTCTAGGTTGGCAGTTTAAACAATCATTTAATGAAATGTTCCCAAAATTCTCATTTTTCTGAAGAACAATAACGAGAAACTTCAGAATAGATCTATAAATGAAGGGTCCAGGGAAAAAACATGATAAGCGCCATTTTACTAATTTTACAGGATAGCACTTCTTTCAGTGTATTCTATATTTTACTAGGCATAGATCATAGGATTTAACAACTTATTGCCCTGCAGAGTTTATGGATTTTGTAGGGACCAGTTAGAATTTTTTTTAGAATTTAGAATGAGTGGGAGGGGGGTTAATCACTTCGACCTTACAGATCCATTGTGTCCCCCTTTCTTGAATCATAACTCATCATACAGTACCAGGGCTTTGACAAAAGCCAGTATCTGGGACGGTTTTATAGAGGGTAGTTCTCCATCTCCAATATCAGTCGTACCAAAATTCATGGCACGAATGGTTGTCATCTCGGCGCACTCAGTGATGAGGTGTACTGGTGTTTCCCCATCTTCCCCACAGAATCTGCATTCGCCGTTTCTTCTTAGTTTCAATCTACTGAGGTGTTCGTTGAGGAGACAGTGTCCTGTTAAAAACCCCGTGACAATCCGAAGATTGTTCTTACTCAGACCCAGGAAGATCTGTGATTTTTCTTCATCATAAGCCCTCAGAAACTTCTTCGAGTGTCTTAGACCATTGGAAAATTTCCATTCCAGGTTGCGGATGGAATCTTCCAAGTTCTTGAGTTCCGCCTTGAGTTGGTTACCACTTGGAAAGCAGAACGGTTCTGGTTCAGTTAGTGGAGTGTTCGCTGCTTTCCTAGCTAGATTATTTGCTTTTTCATTGCCTTCTATCCCTTGGTGAGCAGGCACCCAGTGTAGGAGGACTTTGTTTTCTTTGCCTAATTTATTCAGCTTCTCTATGCATTCTTTGACCAATTTCGAATTGATTGATACTGAGTTGATCGCCTTTAACGCTGCTTGACTATCAGATAAGATGGCTATTTCTTGTTTCCGATAGTTCCTATCTAAGATAAGTTGTACGCATCTCTCGATAGCGTAGATTTCTGCCTGTAGGATACTAGGGTAAGTGCCCATTGGTTCGGAGTAATTAGCTCTCGGCCCAAACACTCCGATCCCTGTTCCCGTATTGGTTTTGGAAGCATCAGTATACCAAGTTATGGTATGGTCTTTTAACTGCTGGGCAAGCGTTTCGCTCTTCCAATCCTTCTTATTGCTCAATACTACATTGACATGTTTGCCAAAGTTGTATGTTCTTGGCATATCGTCCACTGGGAGTTGCAGGAGTGGTATTAGATTTAACAACTTATTGCCCTGCAGAGTTTATGGATTTTGTAGGGACCAGTTAGACCTACTATAATGTAAAATCCTAAAATTTAGAAATTGGCGCTTATCAAGTTATCCCCTGGACCCTTCAAATGAAACTGATTAATTTTCTAACATATTTTCTATGCGCTAATTATAAATTCTCTAGAATTTTAGCAACATTACTGCAACACAAAAAAGTGATAATAATACTTTTCTAATAATTTTCCAGGTTTGATAATAACAGCTGTAATGGCCATTCTGATAGGTTGTCGTTTAAGAGTTGTCAGACGGAGGCTGAGAAAAGGTGGGAAAGGATACGCTCATGATGCCGATTATCTGGTCAACGGGATGTATTTGTAAAAAAAAATATCAAAATATATGCATTACATATGAAAACATCATCGAAATATGAAAAAAAAACAGCCAATCTTTTGATTGACGAATTAAAATAAAAGACATAGGTAAAGATATCATTTTTTATGAAAGAATTTTGATAGAAACTAGAATTTAATTCAATTTTAAATTAAATTAATGATGCAGAATGCTTAAATAGCTCAATCAACAATATTAATTATTGCATATTCTGGAAATATAGCTACTGAAAAAAAACACAAGAATTTTTGAGTAAAGAGCTAACAAAGATAATCAAAATGAACTGACTTTTTTTACATTGGACGATACATACAGTTTATACATTATACTAAGGACTGGCAAAGGTTAGTCTTGGGATGGTCTTGGGTCGAGATTTCCGTATGTAAGAAGAGTACAATGCGTTTATAATGTACTGAACAAAGAGAGAACAGTAAACACGTTGCCAAACGTATGAAATAAACCGAGAAAACGTGGGTAAAAAGATCTGGAAGGGGATAAGCAGATTTGTCGCAGTCGACCGGTTGACCCAATCAATACCTATGTCAGAACTTAAAGTTCTAGGGAAAGGTGTATATCATGCGTTCAGCTTCACAATTTAATTACGTCTCGTGATACTTGTTTATTTATTAACGAGTCGTTGTAATTTTCCCTATAGCTTGAAAAATTTTAACTAAATACTTGTATTTTTGGTAAAAATCAGTGGAATTGAGTTGGTGTTCGACAGTGGTCGCGCTATTAGAACTCTGAATTCAAAAATCGATATCTCGAAATCTATCGGAAATATCTGGAAATCTATCGAAAATACCTCGAAATTTATCTTTCTTCTCTTCTTAATATCTCGAAATCTATCTTTTCGAAAAAAAAAAATCATTTAAAAATAAGCGGTTTGCAATCGTGATTTTACTTTACTTGATAGGGCAAGGCGTATCGGCAACGCCGCAACAGCACACCGTCGCATTTCCCTCACTCCGACTTAATAAGATCCCTATGCGATTTACTCATATATATATTAACTAAAGAATATCGACTCCAAACTGCATTCTGTGAAGCCAAACCGATGAAATGGGTATATAAATCTTCTGAAGGAATTTGCATAAGTCGCTCAGTTAGCTCAAGCGTAGTGCGCAAGCCTGGATTTTGAATTATCGATCGGATATCCAGACCAATAAGAGACTAGACGCTAGCACCAGTTATTCATTCGTACGGCTCCGTCCAACTTCGTACGGCTTTCGTTTGCGTTCCCGTTCGACAATTGGCTAATCCTGGCTAATCGATATTCGAAATTTTGGAGTTGCGCTGTTGCGCCAGTATCTGCCTAACAGACGAACTTATGTGAAATATACATGGACCGATTATCTAGTTGTCTCTAACTCGTCTTCAACTCCAACATATTGCAGGGATAGGCGATAATCCGTATATATTTGATATGTATATGGATTTACTTCTACACATGTAAATACCGACCCAAAAGTAATAGTTGCCAGCACCACAGATTATAATCTTTGTTTTTTCTTTATTGTTTTTCGTGGTTCCAATTTTCGGAATCGGACACTAGTTAGGTGACTAGTTTGCGCACATAGCACGCCCACTTATGGCCTCTAAAATTGTGCACAGCGCCTGACCAGCACAGTTATTAGAGAGATATCGGAAAACCGAATAGCGTCATCCAGTATTTACGCGTACCTTATCATGGTTACGATATGCGCGAGTCAATTTTTAACGCAACACCCGCTAATAACGTTACCGCCTGACGTAATTTGCTGGTCAATTACACCAAGCGCTATTTCTAAATAACCTCTGATAACGTTTAAAAATTGCTTAAATGGGCATGTGCGGGTATTTGACAACCGGAGTCGGCCGGCGCGGCGAGATCTTTTATTTTAGGTTATGTTTGAATTGTTTTGAATTATTGCTTTAGTTTTATTAGGTAATTTGATATTAAGTAGCTGTTGATTTGTGTTAAGTAGCTGGGATTAGTTTTAATTAAATAAATATGGCCCAAAATATGGATTCCACCTCTTCCAATACAAAAGAACCTATAAAGAGTCTTAGGTTTACAGCAGATGACGACTTAGCCCTTCTAAGAGAATTTGTTGCTTGTTGTCCATCTTCTCCAACCCATTGGCAGACGTTGAACAATAAAGCACTGGAAATAAGCACTTTAGCCCTTTAGTTTTAAAATACCTAGTAAACAAAACAATTTCAAAGTTTTAAATTCAAAGTTAGGTTAAGTTTAAATAACGACGCGATCGCGATCAGAATTCTTTCCGATCCGATAACTATAAATCAGAGCTATAAATGAAGAGAGTTAATACCACCTCACGTAAAGGAAATAACACCTGGCCTTATTAACGTCCATGCACGCTATTCGGTTTAGCGATATCAGAGCGATATCTCTCTATTACGCTGTTTATTGTTATTTTACGCGAGTTTATTTTTGCGGAAATTTGACTCGTTTGCGCATCGTCATAAAAAACAATTTTCGTACCACGAATTAGGGACAAGATTTTTATCTGTATACTTATAGGATACCTAATTTGTGCCAGCACAAAGTAGCACAGTGTTTGCAAAGTAGCTGGCTAGTTTGAAAACTAACCAAGTATCCATTTTGGCCGTAACATATACATTAGATCATTACATAAATATTATCTATTATCTATTTGCTTTAGTCTCTGGTTCGAAAAATCGAACACCCCCCCCCCTCACTCCCTTATTTTTAGGCATGGCTAAATGTTTTGGGCATGCATTCTGAATCCAATATTTTTTAAATGTAACAAATATTTTGATTCTTAATTGTTATGATTCAGTTGCGATATTCCAAGAACAATGCAATAATAAATACGCTACAGAACTGTAGACATTAATAATATTGATATCATGAAATATCTAGTTCACCCTGTTTAACTTGTTTAATCAATTTAAATGTAACGTGTTGCTTACTGTTTTTTATATCATAAAATTACTTGTTGTAAATATTCAGTGTTTTGAATATATGTACCATAGTTAAATATTTTTTCTAAGAACGTAACATGTTGTTGTTCTAGTTTGTTTTATTTTAAATCGACATAACATAAATAAAAGGATATTATAAAAAACAATTTATTTTTAATCGATTATGACACTTGTTCTCAATTATAATACTAAGTATAACAATTTTAGTAATGTTTCTTACAAGCTTTTTAAATATTTTTTTTAATTAATAAAAAAACAAATTCCTTTCCAAATACGACCAAACAACAAATGCAAGTATAACAAACAAAGTGAAATACAATAATTAGTTCAAATGTCCTTTCTAAATTAGTAACTATACAAATTGTAAATGTTAAACATCTTTGGAAAATTGATATATTTTTTCTTTTAACATTCAAATTCGAATAATTCATTAAATGAGCATTTAATATTACCGTATATCGATCAAAATATTTATGTTCTATATATTATAATTTAGTAAATTGTATATGTAGGCATGTTTATTTTATATCAAATGGTTTTCGTCGTTTAACGTGAATTCTTACTCAGAAGAAAAAAAATTAAAACAAAATTTGTACAAATATGTACATTTAACAAAACCTTTGCGATATATAATAATTCAGTCGTGCTACATACAAAAACATTTGTACTGCGATTCCTAAAATTACTGCAACATAAATCAAGGCCAAATCGAATACATTCTCTTATAGGCGTTTCGATTTAGAAAAAGCAAAATCAAAGTCCTAGGAATGTAACGAGTGAATTCATTATTGACCTCTGACACGTTTGTCACTTTCCACTTCACTAAGGTACGATGTGTGAATAATTAAAATATAAAGAATCGATTATTGTTCATAATTCAAACGGAACTGGAGCAATTATTAGCTTGAGCCAACATCTTACACTGCTTCTCCAATCTCTGAACATTGGCGAACAGGTAGGAGTTCTCAACGTACAAGTCTTTGACGAATAGATCGTTTCGGTGAAGTTTATCCAGCTGTTCGTTGCAGATTTTCATTTGTTGGTCCAGTTTTTCCTGGCAGAATTTCAGTTTGGCGTGTAGATCAGATCTTTCGCATCGGAATTGGTGAAAGTAATCTGAACAAAGAAAAATTAATAGAATTTTACACATAATGTATAATAGGTTGCTCACATTGAATGGTTTGTTCATTGACATGATGTTGCTGCTTCATACACTGTTGTAGATGTTTTATCCGAACTTCCAAGTAGTTCTTTCTACCCAAGATACTGTTGAACGTACTGATAGGTAAAACAACATTATCTTCACCTGCCAAAAAAAGTTAAGGAAATAATTTCCATTCTTTACTATTTTTATGATAATGCAACTTAAAACATATTATGATTTATGCGATTTAACAGAAAATTAGTAAAAAGAGCTACGTTTGATTCTAAGAACGGTGCGTTTAAATTATATAGACAACTAGAAGACCCGACCACGCGTCGCTGTGGCTAGGGTCAGTGATGGGCAAGTTAGTACCCGATATATTGAAATTCGGGTAAATACCCAAGTTTTTGAACTCGGTATATATCCAAAAGGTCAATAAATAGTACATATATCGAATTTGGGTAAATACCATTATACCCGGTATATACCCAATCACACCCACGTTTTTAAGGTATTCTAACAATTTTTACAAACAATTTGTTGCTAAATTAAAAATTATTGAATTACTAATATCGCTATTAAAAAATACGGGTTGATGGTAGAAGGGTGAAAATATTTAGGGTTGTATGTATTTTTAATGCCAAATCATAAAAAAATCAAAATAAAAAATTTTGTCCAAAAAATAAAAAAAATTTGGGGTGGGTCACCGTTATCACTTAGGGGTATAAAAAGTAGAAAACAACCTAGTCTCAGACCTACTAAATATACATATAAAATTTCATCAAAATCGGTCAAGCCGTTTCGAAAGAGTATGGTAACAAAAATAAAAAAAAACTATTAAAAAATAGGGGTTGATGGTAGAAGGGTGAAAATATTTAGGGTTGTATGTATTTTTAATGCCAAATCATAAAAAAATCAAAATAAAAAATTTTGTCCAAAAAATAAAAAAAATTTGGGGTGGGTCACCGTTATCACTTAGGGGTATAAAAAGTAGAAAACAACCTAGTCTCAGACCTACTGAATATACATATAAAATTTCATCAAAATCGGTCAAGCCGTTTCGAAAGAGTATGGTAACAAAAATAAAAAAAAAACTATTAAAAAATAGGGGTTGATGGTAGAACGGTGAAAATATTTAGGGTTGTATGTATTTTTAATGCCAAATCATAAAAAATCAAAATAAAAATTTTGTCCAAAAATAAAAAAATTTGGGGTGGGTCACCGTTATCACTTAGGGGTATAAAAAGTAGAAAACAACCTAGTCTCAGACCTACTGAATATACATATAAAATTTCATCAAAATCGGTCAAGCCGTTTCGAAAGAGTATGGTAACAAAAATAAAAAAAAAACTATTAAAAAATAGGGGTTGATGGTAGAAGGGTGAAAATATTTAGGGTTGTATGTATTTTTAATGCCAAATCATAAAAAAATCAAAATAAAAAATTTTGTCCAAAAAATAAAAAAAAAATTATGGGTCACCGTTATCACTTAGGGGTATAAAAAGTAGAAAACAACCTAGTCTCAGACCTACTGAATATACATATAAAATTTCATCAAAATCGGTCAAGCCGTTTCGAAAGAGTATGGTAACAAAAATAAAAAAAAACTATTAAAAATAGGGGTTGATGGTAGAAGGGTGAAAATATTTAGGGTTGTATGTATTTTTAATGCCAAATCATAAAAAAATCAAAATAAAAAATTTTGTCCAAAAAATAAAAAAAATTTGGGGTGGGTCACCGTTATCACTTAGGGGTATAAAAAGTAGAAAACAACCTAGTCTCAGACCTACTGAATATACATATAAAATTTCATCAAAATCGGTCAAGCCGTTTCGAAAGAGTATGGTAACAAAAATTAAAAGACTATTAAAAAATAGGGGTTGATGGTAGAAGGGTGAAAATTTAGAGTTGTATGTATTTTTAATGCCAAATCATATAAAAATCAAAATAATTTTTTTTGTCAAAAAAATGAAATTAATCCAAAAAAAAATTGGGGTAAGTCACCCTTAAATAGATAACAACCTATTCTCAGGGTTGTATGTATTTTTAATGCCAAATCATAAAAAATCAGAATAAAAAATTTTGTCCAAAAAATACCTACTGAATATACATATAAAATTTCATCAAAATCCGTCAACCCGTTTCGTAGGAGTATGGTAACAAAAAATTAAAAAAACACAACCTCTATTAAAAAATAGGGGTTGATGGTAGAAGGGTGAAAGTCCTAGTATAATAATTCTAACTAACTATAGTTCTACTAACTTACCTCCTTTATTTTGCTGAGACTGCTGTTGTTGAGTAACAGCGCTATCGCTTTTTCTGGCATCCTTTTCCGGATTGTTTTTCTTATAGAGATGCTTGTCGTGTTTTCTCGTTCTCTTCGGTCTACAGGGCGTCGAGTTTTGACTTGATGACGTCGACGGTTGCCCATGACCTACAGAGGAAGAATCCCTACGTCCTTCGCTGTTAATGGGCAAGGACCAGTGCATGGGTGGCAAGGAACTAGTAGAGGTTTCGGTTTCCGATTTAACCGTCGTTCTGTCCCAATTTGCGCTGTGGAACTCCAAAGAGGAAGGCTGAGGAGGTGCATTTTCTTCGGGATATCTAATGAAAATATACCAACAATAAACACTGGCTCTCAGTGCCCTTTTTTAAGTAAAACAAGTCAGTTGCATACAAATCATGAAGGTAAGATAAAAGAGAGAAAATAAGAAACGTTAGGTACAACAAAGACAGTTACGAAAGTATAATCTAGAATTATTTCCCAAAAATTGTTCCAATCTATGTATTCTAACCTTTAAATAAAAATATTAAGGAAGGAGCATATCAAAAATCTTAGATCGAACGCGACGGGCTCCTAAAATGGCCGACTTAAATTTCAATCAGTGCCGTTCTAATTTTATTCAAAACGTGTAAAAATATGATGTAGGGTAGACTCAATAATTTGTTGTTTTATTTTACGTTGTGAATAAATGTTGGTAGTTATTAAAATTGTTATAAAAATATATAATTATAATAAATATAGATAAGTTATAATAACTATTTATTAACACAAACATCCGAGACGCTACTGAAGCAGGTAAGTCAAATTGGCGTATCTAAATTCTTTGACATCTAATCTTTGACAAGTAGTAAGTACAAGCAAAAATATATAATTAGTTAATTTTAAGTGAATTTCATAAATGATCGGTTTACTACACGTATGTATATTATATAGTAACTTACCATGATACAAGGAGGGTTAGATAAGATATTACGCATGTAGTGGGCGGAGCTTAACAGAAAATTACTACCCTAGTGACGTCATGCGCGCGGAGAACAGATTTGCGATCGCCAAGAATCTTATCTAACCTTCTTCTATCATGGTAACTTACTAGCAAAAAGTTCTTCCATTATTTTCCTTGATTTTTAACCGAGATCCATCGCACGCTACACAACCAACTGTTTTACAGTCTTTTTCAATAAATCGCAATAGTGTCACTGTTAATTTAAGTTCTGCTACAATTTCCTTCTAGATTTACTACCTCTAAACAACTATCAGTATTAGAATAAATAATAAATAACATAAAATAAGCTCAGTAAAGTCTTGACAAATTCACAAAATTTCAAATCAAATTCAAATGTGTCAAGTGAATCGTCAAACAGAACTGTCAAGGATCCCCACCCTAGAGTCCTCTTTCCGTCGACCATGCATGAATACATGGATAGCATTATACTCCTTTCTTCCTATCTTTTTATTCAAAGATTCTAACCGTTTAATTTTTTTACTAACCTGGACGTGATTTCTGCGACGCACCACTTAAAAGTTTTCATCTTGTTGTAGTTTCTTTGTCTTTCGGCATCAGCGTCAGCCTGCACCGAGACTTCCCGCATTTCTTCTTGCCTCGTTGCCAGTTCCGACAATTTGTCCTTTAGTTCGCTAATTTCTTCCTCTTTTCTAAACATTTCGCTTTCGTGATACGCCCTGTAGTCCTCAAATTCCTGTTCCAGATCTGTGAACTGCTTTTCAAGATTTTCTGTTTCTACTATAGGCGGCAGTCGGCCATCCAATAAATCCTGTATTAAAATATCACTTAATTATCATAGAAATACTTTTTCATAAACGTTTTTTACCTGATTCGCATATTGTTCCTCATATTCCCTCATTTTGTCTAATAATTCATTCAGTTTATCTCCGCTGATTTTTTGTTCCGCCTCGAAGAATTGTCGTTCTTCGTCAACTTTTGTCTATTAAACGGTAAAAGGCAAATATAAAATACATAATGTTATATACATAAATGTTAGAGATTAAATTTAAATTTATATGTAAAGGCGCGAATAGTCAGGCGCTAAATTGATTTACGTGGTACATAGAAACTTAGAAAACTACTTCTATTGGTTAGTATGAAATAAATCAACTAATCATGAAGCACTTCTCACGCTTGCGTTGTTCAAAGCTGTTGAAAGAAAAGGGCCGACTTATGTGGATTTTGTACAGCTCCATCTCAAAAATTTGGCTTCAATTTCTATTCCTGACTAGCGATATAGTGTAATATATATAAGGTAAAAAGTTTAATCCAGAAAATATCATGTATTCTATTTTATACACAACCACACATTAGGCTGTCAGTCGACTGACGATAATTTACATGGAACTCTGTGTACCTACAAGCTTTGATTATAAAATCTATCAAGACAGGTGCTGGTAGGTGAGGGGCGGATACTCAGAAACCAGCTAAGTCGACTGGCTGTCTAATAAATAGGCTGTGTCTGTACTTTCTGTAGCGAGTTAACATTTAAAATATTTATTTTATGAAATAAAACTACAGTTACTAAAATTTACAGAAAATTATTTTATATAGGGTTCGGCAATACTGCGTTGGGCATCTGTAGCTACTAAAACAAAACACTTGGGAATTTTGTTCAAGTGCAAACGTAAAGTATGTTCTAGGATGTATTTCAGAAAAATATTTTAACTTCTATAGGTTGGAACGTTCTAAATGTAAAGCCCTGTATATTATTGCCTTTTTGGCTTCCTTTCAGATCCCTTTACATCCTAAGATTTGAGTGAATATAGTTCGATAGTTTCAGAGGTATTAATAAATAAACAAAAAACATCTACTTTCCAACTTTCCTTAAAAAATATTAGAAATACAAGAACTGTCCTGAAGTCAAAACTATATTAGGTATTTACTTTAGATGATTTATACTTACTTTACTATAAATATCGTAATCTTAAATCATACAAGGTGTTCAAAATTCTATTCAAAATGTTTAATGGTTTCCCAAATACCACGCAGAAATATTTCATATGGCTCTTTCAACGGTAAAATACGAGAGAAAATGCCATATGAAACATAAAACAGCGAATATCTGCGAAACCGTTAAAAATTTTAAAATACTCTAAATACAAGAAATGTTCATTTTTTAATTCTCCATCTATTGCAAAAATAGTACACAGAGTGTTTCATTAAAAAAAAACGAATAAAAATGATTTTATATTTTAGAAAGTTTGGCGTAGAATTTTGAACATCCTGTATAATTTACGATTGCCATATTTATTAGTAGTGGGAACTATCGAATGAATACTATCGAAACATTCGATATTTGCAATTCATTCGAATAATTCGATAGCTAGTAAGAAAACATTCGTCGAAAACTATTCGAATAAAAATTATCGAATAGATGCGTCATCTGCCTTGAAATATTGTATTCTACTAATTCGGCAGCAAAAACCATTCATTTATAAAATTCATTCATTTATCAAATTCATTTATTCGCCGTCTAGGATCGATTTTAATAAAATATAAACTGGATTTTAGTTGTCGTCCGGCGAATTCAGAAATTGATTTACTCTAGAAACCCGACATTTTTTAGGATTGGCAATGCTACGGAAAGAGTTAGGCATATTTGGTTTTTGTCATCAAATAAAGATAAGGACATTTTTTTTTTTTAAGGTGCTAGTATTTATACAGCAGATTCTCAGTGAGAATATTAACTCCCTGTTTCTAAAATTTCAGTTAAAGGGACGTAAGAACTATAGGAAGTAAATTGCCATATATTCATGTTTTGGTAATATCAAAGAATAGTTTTTAGCATTAGTTAGTTAGGGATATATGTCTATAGTTTTGCATAAGTTTTTTTATTAATATTCTGTTGTTACACTGCAATAATGCTTTTCATGTTTTAGATGATAGATCAAATGATTTCTTTAATGTTTTTAAGCAAAGTACTGTTAATAACAAATTGAATAATAACAGTAATAATTTGCTATGACTATTAACAACAAAATATTTAAATATTTAATAATATAACATTTTTTTAAACTGTAGCAAAATATTTAACAACAAATAGAGGTAATAGTATTTATATTAGATATAATTTATGAAAATATATAGTCTATAAATATTAGAACACAATGGTTTATTAAATAATAATAATTACAAGAACTAATTTGTTATATTAACAACAATTTTTAAAATTAACACAACATAAACATTTATTAATTATTTTCTAAGCATGCAGTGTAATGGAAGGAAAATATAAAAAAAATTAGAAATCAAAATTATTTATATTACTTTTTATTACTTATTTTACTATGCCAGAAACACATCAATATTTATCACAACCACAACTTTACTTTAAAAAATGAATGAAATATTTCTACCTAAAAAGTACATGTAAGAGAATTAGCATAAACAAAATACAAATATTGTTAAGTGTTTTTTAAATTGGCACTGTAAAACTTTCAATTTAATTTTCTCACTTCAAATTTGAGGATAACCATTTACTTAACCATATTTTTTGGTTTGATTCGTGTTTGATCAACTAATTCATATTATTAAAACATCTAAAAATACAAATAATGTATTTTTTAAAATTAATTGTAAGTTCATCTCATGTCTCTTAAAAAAATTGCTATATTTCAAAATTTCCCATTAAAAAATGCAATCTAACCTAACCATAATATACCATAAAAAATTAAATAATTGAACATAATTATATATTTCAAGTGTTATTTGATGTTTGGTCCCATTACCAACATTACCTTATTCGCACACAATCGTCAATTTAAAAAAAACTACTAAATTTTAGTATTTTAAAATGATTTTAATAAACGCAAAAAATAGCATAGTATTTATATAAGTTTTAATCTATTTATTAAAATTTGGAAGAACATAATGCATACGCACAAAATTAATCAAACGAATACTAAATTTCAAATAATTAGAAAGCATTTACGAACATCGTGGCGCAACGATAACCATGAATTTGTGAACGGTCAATGTTGTCTAATACGTTTTAGGCGTTTTACAAATGAATTAAATGATTTTATTCGAATAAAACCATTCGATAGTTGAAATCATTCATTCAGTAACCATTCGATAGTCTAATTCATTCGATAGTTCCCATCGCTAATATTTATAGCAAAGTAAGTACAGACCACCTAAAGTAAATACCTAATATAGTTTTGATTTCAGGACAGATCTTGTATATTTAATATTTTTTCAGAAAAGTGTCAAATTCATGTTTTTGATTTACCACAGATTAATATCTTTGAAACGATTTGAAATAGTCGATTCCAGTTTAGAGATTTTCGTTTTTAATTACTCATATCTTAGGATTATGTAATCAAAAAAAAAAAAGAAAAATATACCAACTAAATTAAAATTTGTAAGTGATCTGATGTAGACACTTTTTTGTGTCTCCCTATAAAAGTTAAAATATTTTCCTGAAATACATCCTAGAACATACTTTAGGTTTGCACTTTAACAAAATTCCCAAGTCTTTTATTCTAGGAACTACAGATGCTCGACATTTATGTCTACGGCACAAGAAGCCACAAATCATCCGTGTATGCATTCTATTTCCTATTGGTCGAGATATTTTGAGGTTAGGGTTAGGGCATTGTTTATTGTTTTTGGTTATGTGGCGAGTTGATTAGCGTGGTTATTTGGAGGGTGTTAATTGATTGGTTTTTTTTTCAGATAGACGTGAATTTAAGGTCAGTAAACACCGAAAAATATTTAAAGCACCGAAATCGAAAATAAATAATAGGTTAGGTAGAAACGTCAAAACAGAAGGCGCGCGCAACACGGGTGATTTGTGGCTTCTTGTGCCGTAGAAATAAGTATGCCCGACGCACTATTTTTTTTCTGGAGGTGTAAAAACCTTACCTGCCAATAATCTTCACACTTTTCGTATTCGTTTCTCAATAGTTCTACACAATCTTCTAATTCCGTACATTTAGCACTGAGTTCTTGATTTTCTTCCTCCATTTTTTTCACCTTTTCTTCCACAAAGGCTATACTAAAATCAGTCTGAGAACTTTGTTCAATAAAACTTTTATCACTAGAAAAATAAAAACAACCAAAAAAAGTTGGTTAATAACATTAAAAATGCCTGATTGTTTCTAAAATACCTGTCCAATGAGTTAGATTCTTGGCTGTTGGACAACTTGTCGAAAAATCTGCGGAGACTATCACATTTCACACATCCTTCGTTGGAATGGCGAGTTAAGTTGATTTCTTTCTTAACATCGCTAATAGTCTTTTCCAGTTCTTTCACTCGGTTTGTTAGTTGCATGGTCGTGGTCGCACTTTTTCCAATTTCCTGTCGAAAAAACAACCGGTGCAGAATATAAGAGGATATCCTTTTAAATTTTGTGCCAAACTTCATTTTGCTCACATATGTTTATAAAGGAATACATTAAGATTAATATTCTCATGCTTTACATAACATCCAAACAAACAATCAAAACAAGAAAGCAAAAAAATGATCGAAAAAAATTATTTGTATATTTTGTGATAAAACAGTTGTTGATGTGTCAGTGGGCAAAAAAATCTTTATCGATAAAAAGGAGGATGAATTTATTAAGTTATTTAGGAGTAATTGCAGCTTGTGTTCAAACAACAAAAATTAATTATTCGTGTAATTATGCTAGGCTGCCGAAAAGACTGTGATAGAAGCATATAATCAAAAGGTCGTGTAATTTTAACCATCTGAAACGTTTTTTTCCATCAGTCGCGTTTAACATTTTTCTTGATATACCGTATGATCGAAAAAAACGGCGTCCAGTTGGCTTGGAAATGACGATCGATGATTCCTCATATAATTTTATATATAAAATGACAGCGATCTCCATTTCATAACCATCGGTGACACCATTTATTTTTTATTGTACATTTGTTTATTTTTAAATTGATTTTCAAACATAATTGAGTAAGTAATTATAATGTATTAGTTAATCAATATATCATAGATATTTTTTAATTTTTAATTAATAACGTTTAAGTAGCTTCATAATAATTTAGTTAAAATTTATGCTAAAATGTAATTGTTATAATATTTAAATATTTAATTAAATAATTAACCCATATTTTTCTTTTTTGAGCAGTGCCTTAAATATCAAACTTATAAAGATTTTTTTCAGCTTATGAACTTATTCCCTATGATCACACTCACCGGCACGAAGAACGGGCACCTTAATATCCATTAATTTTCATGTATTTTAAAGTTTTCTATACAGGGTGTCTCAGAAATAAGTGCAAGTGTTTTAAGGGGTGGTAGATCTCGATGAAAGAAACATATTGTTAAGGTGTATGTGGCGCCATCTGTCGGAGAAGCAAGAAACTAAACCGCAGCGTGTATTGAGAAACCTGACGAATTCACCCTTTGAATAAGAAGACTAAGGAAGGAGCATAATGCTATCCATGTATTCATGCATGGTGGGCGGAAAAAGCACTATCGTGGGGATCCTTGACAGTTCTGTTTGACGATTCATTTGACACATTTGAATTTGATTTGAAATTTTGTGGATTTGTCAGTCTTTACGGAGCTGATTTTATGTTATTTATTATTTATTCTACTACTGATAGTTGTATAAAGGTAGTAAATCTAGATGGAAATTGTGGCAGAACTAAAATTAACAGTGACACTATCGCGATTTATCGAAAAAGACTCTAAAATAGTGGGTTGTGTAGCGTGCGGTAGATCTCGGCAAAAATCGAGTGAAATAATGGAACAACTTTTCGCTAGTAAGTGACTATATAATATACATACGTGTAGTAAACCGATCATTTATGAAATTCACTTAAATTAACTAATTATATATTTTTTCTTGCATTTTTGCTTTTATTTACTACTTGTCAAAGAATCTAGATACGTCAATTTGACTTACCTGCTTCAGTAGCGTATCGGATGTTTATGATTATAAATAATTATTATAACTTATCTATTTTTATTAGAATTTTATATTTTTATAACAATTTTAATAACAATCTAAATAATCTTTACAACCAACATTTATTCACAACGTAAAATAAATATAAAATTATTGAGTCTACCCCACGCCTACCCTACATCATAGTTTTACATTTTTTAAATAAAATTAGAACGGCACTGATAAACCGGAATTTAAGTCGGCCATATTTGAGGCCCATCGCGGTGGATCTAAGATTTTTGATATGCTCCTTCCTTAGTCTTCTTATTCAAAGAATTCACCAGAAAGTAAAATATATTTTTAGGCGCCATCTCTTAATCAAGTCGACAAGTAAGCGAATCAGACAATAGAATTTAATAGTAGATGGCATAAAGTTACCGATAATTTTAGAATGTTCCAGAAACACTCACCACAGCTATATAAAAGGAGCGCGTTCGGCAGTTGGGACAGTTTGAAGTTTGATAATACCGCGTTTTTAAATTGTGAATTAATTGGCGAAGGTGCCAGAAAAGTTAGAGTAATAGTAGTTGCATAAATTGTGTTTTATAATCAGTATAAATTGTGTGTACAGAGTGAGAAAAAAATAAATTCGTTAAGTATTTTATCGTGAGTTTAAATTAGTGGATCCACGGAATCCGTAACAATATTTTCTCTTTATCGTTTTTCAAATAAGTCCAAAATAACGGAGATATTTTACTTTGAAAATTTGCAAAAACCAATAATTTTTGCTAAAATTTTGAAAACTACTGGATCATTTCTGGATTTTCTTTCTTGTAAATTTAATCTAATACCTATGTTGCCATATTATCAAGAAATTAACTAAAAACTAAAAAAATTTTCAAAAATTTTTTCAAAAAATTACGAATTTTCAAAATTTTTTTTCGCGAAAAAACCTCATAGGCTGTTTCTGGGGTTGAACTTGGTTGAACTATACTACCCGAGATACTACCAGTTAAACTACTTGCACTTATTTCTGGGACACCCTGTACAATGTTTAGTGGACCGATTTTGATGATTTTTAGGCAATTTGTAGCTAAATTTATTGGAGATATTTGCTTTTAAAGAAGACACTAACATTTTTTTGTATTTTTCACATTAAAACTATGCCCTTAATCCAGTAAAATTATATCGCCGTATAGAGAGTGAAAATAAAAAAATTACGGGCCAGGTGATTATTTCAGAGTTTGTCAGCGACCGTCTTCTGAGTGTAAAATTAACAAAATCGGAAATTTTCGGTTTTTGAGCAACAGGGGTGGTTTTTTTAAAACTGTACTACAACAAAATAATTAGACGCAAATTGTACATAAGAACATTCTCTATAAGTTCGCCTAATGATTTATTTTATAAGTTTATTATTTCCGGACTTAGCGGCCGTTTCATGAGCCCTTTGGGGTGGTTTTCAAAAAGTTTGTTTTACAGCAAATTGACCCGTATGAAAGTTGTTCAAGGAACTTTTCCTCATGATTTTTTTTGTAGCTTGATTATTTTTGGAGATAGCGTCCAGTTCATGAACAAATTAGGGTAGTTTTCAATGTTACTCTTTTTTCAGCAAATTCACCGTAGGAAACTCGTCCAAAATAAGAGTACATATACGTTTGCCTTATGAACTTTTTTTGTAATTTGACTATTTTTGGCGATAGCGCCCAAAAATCTAAAAAAAAATCAAAAATCCCAGCTATCTCCAAAAATAATGAAGCTACAAAAAAAATCATGAGGAAAAGTTGCTTGTCCATTTATTATGAACAACTTTCATACGGGTCAATTTACTGTAAAACAAACATTTTGAAAACCACCCCAAAGGGCTCATGAAACGGCCGCTAAGTCCGGAAATAATAAACTTATAAAAAAAATTCATTATGCGAACTTATAGAGAATGTTCTTATGTACAATTTGCGTCTAATTATTTTGTTGTAGTACAGTTTTAAAAAACCCACCCCTATTGCTCACAAACCGCAAGTGGAAAATTTCCGATTTTGTTTATTTTACACTCAGAAGACAGTCGCTGACAAACCCTGAAAAAATCAGCTTGCCCGTAATTTTTTTATTTTCAAATGACAATTTTATTGGACTACCTTGCTTTTGGTCACACAACAAAAAAAACACTATTTTATAAGTGCATTAATGAGGACCCAAAGTCAATGCTAAAAAAAAGCTGTAAACCGTTACTGTCTTATTCAAGAGCGAATATCTCCCATAAAAACAAAGCTATTGAGATGAATCAAAAAACAAACTATCGAGAAAAGACCTACCTAGATGATAAAATGATTCTTAAAATTCTTGCTTTGTTAACATATTCCGCAGGGTGTTTCAAACTTTCACTAAAATATCAATTCAATTTTGTTTTCCCTCGTATAATTGACAGATAGAAAGTTTCAGTTTTAATTTCGAAAGAGATACTAAAAAGTCAAATAACTTAGGTACAAATTGCTTAAAAAATCATCAAATTCGGCCCTCTACAACAAAATATATTAAGCTACATCAAAATTTTAAGCTGCCCGTTTTTGGTGCCGGTGAGTGTATTGAGGAAGATGCATATATTTTATTTTTCGCCAGAAACTGTTCAATTTATTAGATTTTTTTTTACCACAATTTTATAAAACGGGCCATTAAAATACTATGGATAACGCAAACGACGCTTCGCGGATTGAAACGATATTCTATTGGTCTGACGTCACCCGCCGTTCTCGTCGACGCGCGATGGCCAGCAGCAGCCAGACGTGTTCCGTTTATGTACGTATTTAGGTGGCGTACTAAGACATTTTTGTTGCTTTTAGCGTTGATTGAAGAAGTTTTTAATGCTTTTTTTGTGCAGTTAGTATTTGTATGTGTTGTGTGTTCTGAGAATTTTTAAGTAATGGCACATTCCGGGTTTGTAAAAGCACAATCAGATAACTTGCCAAAAGTCGATGCTTTTATGTTGGCTGCTTTTATAAATACAAATTCCCAATTTATTGGTGCTGAATTACGAGGAAAAAAACAGAGAGGTATGTAACATTTATTCTTTGTAGAACTGAGGCATATTTAAGTATAAGTAGGTACCTACTGTTACGAACTTTGATATAGTTATAAATATTAATGTTATAAACTTATTTTTCAGATCAGGTAGGGAGACGTATGGAGATAATGCTGTAGGTTATGTATAAGTGAAAAGAGACAAAAATATTTGTTTAGTACGTGGAAAAATAACTCCAGAGCATAGCGTGAAAAAGAAAGTTTTTTTTTTATATATTGACACCTCCTTACCCTTATTATTTTTAAAGATTGTTTTTTACGAAATTATAAGAAACAAATTGTTTATCAGTAATGAAAATATTATACAAAGTCCCATAAGCAAACGCCAAAATTAAGTTACTTTTTAAGTAAAACACCCTATATATTTTAGATTCTTCGGAAATTTCTAGATATTCTAGATATATTTCGTGTATAATATCCTATACCTATCTTCAAATGTTTACGAAATATTGACAGTTGAAAAGCGGAAAATACCTACAATTTTCTGCACCAACCTTTTTTGAGACACCCTGTATAACTAGAATTAATTTTAAAAGTGAGTATATGAAAACCATGCAACTTTTTTATTTAATGTTTTCTTCTAAACTTGCAGTTAATGCTGTATGTGGGTGTCAAAATATAATCAATAACCCTGTACATTCAAATTTCATATACCTATGTAAGACAATAGACATAAATATATGAACTTACATCAAAATCAAACGCTCAGGACAATAATGGGAAAAACAAGAAGAGACCGAATTAAGAACACCGACATCAGGGAACAATGTGAGGTGCAAGACATAGTAAGGTGGGGCAGACAAAGAAAAAGAGGTTGGTACGCCCACGTGAGAAGAATGGATGAGAGAAGACTGCCACGAATTGCATTAGAAGGAAAACCAACAGGGAAAAGAGAACCTGGAAGACCACCTAAGAGATGGAAGGACAGCTGGCAGTCCACCTCCCAAGAACTGTTACAGAGGACCCATCAAAATTAACAGATCGCGAGATCTTAAAAATGAATAAGAAGAAGAAGACATCAAAATGATCTTCACAACAATAAATCGTAAAAATAGAGGATAATTTAATGTTTTTCTTTTCATCTCTTCTCATGGCCTTGGACCATTTTTTTCTGTTTTCGCTCATCCATTACTATTTATAAATATCACTAATTACTCTAATTATGTATTAATTAACACAAATAACTAAAATTTTGACTCGGATTCAACAGCGTTTAAAAGCAACCTGTGTAAAATAAACACGCGTTTGGCTCCACTCAACCAGAAGAACGGCGGGTGACGTCACAGCGGCAAGGCGCGGTAGAGAGCGTTTGCCCGGCCATTTAAATTAACAATATTTAATTATTTTATATCAGAGGCATTTCTTAACCGATATCAACGATTTTTTTTTGTTCAATTTGTAATTATATGAACTATTTTTTAAAACCATTATTTAAAAACATGCATTTTCCTCTTTAGCAGACAAGCCTTGTTTCTAGTATATATCAAAGGTAAGTAAAACTTCTCCATCTAATAAATAAAACCAAAAATACAAAGTGCAAAAAACATTTATTAAACAAAAAGCCATACAGATATGTGTGTATATGTATGTTTAATTATATGGAGAAGCCTTGGAATGATAGCACTAGAGCAAGGCATCTGCGCGCGCTAAATTATATTAATACTGTGTAGTATAGTGGTAAAGTTAGTGAAAAAACAAATAAAATTAGTAGAAAACAAATGCAAAGATGGAAAGACAATGCTATAATGCCCAGCTTCTCCTAAATATGCAGCAATAACATAAATAAATAAGTGAAAAATACAGCATGCTCTAGGTTCATCTAACTAACAACAAAATAAATAAATAAATATTACATACTATAGCTAAAATATTAAACCTTTGACCGAAAACAATTCAAAAAAGCTAAACTTATTAATGTCAAAACAGAAAAAAGGTAAATTTAATTTTAAATAAATTCTAAATTTTAATAGTCAAACTATTTAATTTTCTTACAAACATAATTCCCTGTCAACAAATCAATCAAGCATAATGGCATTCGAAATGTATGAGAAAAAAACTATTAGTGACATTTCACCTAACGACGATAGACAGACAGATATTTGTGCCTGAAGATGGTTGTTAGTTCGAAACGTTCCACACGAGTTATAATGTAAAACTCGCACTTACCTCGTAACTGGGTACAGGAATGTTGTTCTGGATGAGAACTTGTTCCAAAAATGCTACTTTAGCTTGTAATCTGCAAAAATTCAATACAATAAAATTATTAAAATCAATTATTAAAATTACTTATAATGTTCGTTTTAACTTTCTTACCGGTATGATCGAAAAAAAAACGGCGCAGCGTCCAGTTGGCTTAGAAATGACGATCAATGACATTCCCCATATAATTTTACATATAAAATGACAGCTATCTTCATTTCAAAGCCACCGCTGACGCCGTTTTTTTTTTCGATCATCTTATACAGGGTGTTAGAGAAAACCTTCATATGAATGTATGTCGTAAACATCTCAATTTCTGAGATACAGGACGATAATTTTTTGTATTTTTTTTTTATAATAACTCTGATTTTATTATAAATATTGTTACGGATTCCGTGGGTCCACTAATTTAAACTCACGATAAAATACTTAACGGATTTATTTTCTTACTATATACACACAATTTATACTGATTACAACACACAATTAACTATTTAAAAAAAATCATTCGCCAAATTGTCACGATCCACAATTTAAACCTTTGAAAATTGTCACGATCCACAATTTAAACCTTTGAATAAGAAGACTCAGGAAGGAGCATAATGCTATCCATCTATTCATGCATGGTTGGAAAAAGGCCTCTAGGGTGGGGATCCTTGACAGTTCTGTTTGACGATTCATTTGACACATTTGAATTTGATTTGAAATTTTGTGGATTTGTCAGTCTTTACGGAGCTTATTTTATGTTATTTATTATTTATTCTACTACTGATAGTTGTATAAAGGTAGTAAATCTAGATGGAAATTCTGGCAGAACTAAAATTAACAGTGACATTATTGCGATTTATCGAAAAAGAGTCTAAAATAGTTGTTCGTGTAGCGTGCGGTAGATCTCGACAAAAATCGAGTGAAATAATGGAACAACTTTTCGCTAGTAAGTGACTATATAATATACATACGTGTAGTAAACCGATCATTTATGAAATTCACTTAAATTAACTAATTATATATTTTTTCTTGCATTTTTGCTTTTATTTACTACTTGTTAAAAATTAGATGTCAAAGAATTTAGATACGTCAATTTGACTTACCTGCTGTTATAAATAATTATTATAACTTATCTATTTTTATAACAATTTTAATAACTACCAACATTTATTCACAACGTAAAATAAATAAAAATTTATTGAGTCTACCCCACGCCTACCCTACATCATAGTTTTACATTTTTTAAATAAAATTAGAACGGCACTGATAAACCGGAATTTAAGTCGGCCATATTTGAGGCCCATCGCGGTGGACCTAAGATTTTTGATATGCTCCTTCCTTAGTCTTCTTATTCAAAAATTTAAACCAACCGTATTTTTAAACTTGCTCAAAGAAAGTCAGTTTGCTTCAGGGTCAAACCGCTGAAAATCTGATGCGGTGAATTGTGTGGAAATCATGTCTGGGCATCGACTGGAAGGAAATCAAGAAATAAAAAAAAATTGTATATAAAAATAAGCATTTTGATGCACGGAAAACGTGTATCAAATATAACATCAGAGATATTTTGAAAAAAATAGAAAATTTTACCACCCTGTGAAAATTTAAAATGTTTAGGACGCACATTAGAATAGGTCCAAGAATCACCTCCTTAAATATTAGCCGGTCATTAAGAAACACCCTGTACATAAAAACGGACTCTGACGACTCGTGTACTTGTACAAACATTTGTTATTGGGATATACTTGCCATGTCGTGCGAGCGGTTAACTTGTGCAATTATTTGTCACTCGTCGCGAGGCGTGAGCGCCAAGCTTGTTGCAAAAAAATGATATTTACAAAGATAGTATACTTGCCACTTGCCAAGTATGCAATTAGTGGCGTACTTGCCAAATACACGAGTAGTCAGAATCAGCCTTAAGATATACAGTACGATCGAAAAAATAATAGTCTCTGTCTAAATGCGGACTCTGACGACTCGTGTACTTGTACAAAAAAAATGTTGTTTACAAATATAGTATACTTGCCAAGTACACAAATATTGGCGTACTTGCCAAGTACACGAGTCGTCAGAAACCGCCTTAACGACAGGTTACAGTTGTTGTATGTCATTTTAATTCATAGTTCTATATTCAGTCATTTTTTAGGATGTCGTCTGTCGAAGTCAAATCATCCCTGACTCGTTGGAGATACCCTTATTATTTGTTATTGTTTTAGACCCCTGTTAAGTCTGCGTAATAATCACACGGTGTTATGGTCATTTAAACTGAAAATCTTAGTTGTATATTCTACCTGATATTTAGGAATTGAAAGAACAAACAACGTTAAGATGAATTAATTAGAAAAATGGAAATAGGACACGGAATTGAACAAAAAGTGTTTCAAGCCGATCGAGTGAATCGGAGTTGCCGATATATACGTGGTCTATAATTTGAAAACGGTTTAACTCCTAAATTATTTTAGTTCCCGACTGTATATTTGATCTAGTATGTTGAAAATCAGTATTAATAAAAACAAACTCTTAGTTTTACCTGTTAATTTCTTCGTTGTCGCAGGTCGACAATGACTCGGGTTCGGTGTCGAATCCACTTTCGCTCGACGTGAAGGGCACCTCCAGGTTCTCCGGCGTCCTGGACTTGTAGCACTTGCGCAGCTTGCCGAGGCGCGGGCTGCCGTCTGCTTTAAACAAACACAATGTCATTTTATTGTTAATCGAACAAAATCTTATATTAAGGAAATAATTGATGCATTTGAAAGAGATCAGAGATTATCATTGCAATTTTTAAACTTCAAATTTCAAAGCAGTGATCATTAAACTGAAATGGTGCTGTTAAAGTACAGGGTTTGCCATTAAGAGAGAAGGTAAGCTAGCTATAGTTTGGTATTCGTTCAGGATAGAACTTAAAGAATGAAATAACTAAAGGCAAATCAGCTAAGAAAATTACTCAGTTTTCTTTTTCATTTTTTGGTTTTCCTAAAATTTTGGGGTTATGTAATTGAGAGTTTGAGGAGATTTTAGCTTTGCCATTGTGACTTTTTTCTGTTACAACGCGTAAGGTTAATTTTCCAATCCAATCGGTCATTTCAACCATCATCAAACTTTCTTAATTTAAATGCGGACCTAGCTTTCTTTTCACTATTAGATAAGCATCACAACTAAAAATAAACTGTGATATAACATACCGGGCGTGCCTCAAAAGTGGCTCACCCCTATAACTTTTTTATTTTTTCCGATAAAAAATCGAGATTCGGTATGTTAGTATATGACATGAATTACGATTGAGTGACGTATTCAATTGTTTTCGATCATTTCCTGTTTCACCGGAAATGACTACAACTTTTGATTTTTAAATGGCACCATTCAGTATTTTGTTACTTTATTCGGTAGAAAATGACACTCAGAATAGAATGACATATAATTTGTCAACTTTTAAACATTTTTGAATACGGTTTATTTGAAATTGCAACATGCGATTCATAACGACAAATTGACTCAAAATACCAAGCGTGTGGTACCAAATTATTAGTAAAAAATGCTTTTTCCAAATATGCTAATCAGCCACCCTCGTTCCATTTGAAAAAAATTGAGATATGATTAAAAATAAGATTTGAGCATCTTTTAATCGGCCACGACAAGACAGTAAAAACATTAGACGATCAAATATATTTTTCCAAGGCTCCTCGATTAAAAATTAATGATTTTAACACATCCATGGCACTCTAGATTGAAATTTAAAATACAATATGGCATTCTATTCAGAGTGTCATTTTCTATCGAATAAAGTGGAAAAATACCGATGGTCTCATTTAAAAATCAAAATTTGTAGTCATTTTCGACAAAACAGGAAGTGGCCGAAAACAATTGAATACGTCAGTCAATCCGAATTTATGTCATATACTAAGATACCAAATCTCGATTTTTTATCTGAAAAAATAAAGAAGTTATAGGGGTGAGTCACTTTCGAGAGGCCCCCGGTATACCGATTTGGTCATTTTAGAAATGTGGTCTGAAATCAAATGTATTAAAAAGAGATAAAAGTTGCATCAAAAGGATTTTGCATCAAAAGTTCAAACCACACAAGTAGGCGTTTATGGAAAATGTTGCATCTAGGGTTGGAACCTTGTAACCTGTAATAGATTATATTTAGCTTAGATATATTATCTCCATTTCAGTAGTATACATGAAAGTTTTTAAAATAGTTTTTTTTCTATACAAACGTGAAAACCGGCAACACTGTATGCCGCTTTTGACTTTTGATATTGTCTCTCTGTTTGTCAACCGGTCATTTATATTCTCTGTCTTACACGTTAAAATCCAGACCACACTTCTAAAATGACCAAATCGGTATACCATAGTATAGGCAAGCGATAGTCTTGGGCCTATATTCACGGGTCTAGGATAGAGTGACCCGTTTTAAAACTCCTGTCGTGTTGTAATCCCAATGTAAGAGTAGTCGTTTCCAAGTAAACAAAGTCGACACAAAGTACACTTACCGAACTTAAATCTACCTCAATTTTACTTATACATCGCGATAATAAAGCAACATACCTACTGTAACTATGCAAAACATCAAATTTGCCCTAAAAGCATATATTGAAAAGGAAGTCAACGGCTTCTGATTTGAACGCGCATCGTAATTTTAAAAACAAACTAAATCAAATTCACGGTTAGCATTGCAAATAATGTAAATCGAGAGATAATAATACGACACGAGATAATATCAATAATTAACGTGTGTATGTTCCATCCACGGTAGAAAGCGTTTCAAGTGACATCACCCACTAGAAATAGATCCGATTCTGTAACATATCAGACACGACGAACGGTAAATATCAATAATATAGTAACGTGACCTATAGAGACTGTATTCTATTGAAACGAACTTTCTAGAGAAAAAAGCTTTACGTCAAAATCAAAGTAGAATTATACCTAGTTGCCACGATAACCCGTCTCAAATTATGTTCCCTTTATTACGATTAAATAAATGCCTTTATTGTCAAAAAAATTTAAAATTTGTAGACAAAGGTAAAGTAAACAAACAAAAGAGAATACAAAACAAATATACAAATTACATTGTCGGTCTTATTGTTTAAAATAAACATTTATAAATGTTTACAATGTCAAAGAATAAAAAAATAAAAATAAGATTCAAAAATATTTAGTAATTTTATAGTAAATATAGTAATAGCAAATATTAGACCAGTGTTTACAAGATCAAATTTGATTATCAAAATATATGATGTAAGTCATTTACGGCGTAGAAAGCCCTGTCTAGTAAATAAGATTTCAATGCTTTGCGAAATGAAGAAAATGATGTTATGGAGCAGGTGATATTTACAGTGCATTTTTTTTCGAGTTGTATAATATTGAACTTTTAACTAACTCTGAGCGTGGGGTAGGTAGATAAAGATCTTGCCCCGCGTTCCTGAGTGGATAAGTGTGAGATGGTCTTTCTTGAGAAGCTGATACATGCTTACGGATTAGGCAAACGGATTCAAATATAAATAAGGACGGAAGAGTTAATATTTTTATTTTTTTAAAAAAGTCCTGGCAATGAGTTCTGCTGTTTAGTCCCAATGAATATCGAACAGCTCTCTTCTGGAGCTTCTGAATGCGGTCAAATTAAGTCGCACAACACGTACCCCAGAATGGAAGGGCATATCTGAGGTGCGACTTAAAAAGTGCATAATAAACAGTTCTAGCCACTGACAAGTTAAGCTCCTTAGAAACAGATCTTAATGCAAAACAGGCAGAGCTTAATTTTTTGGACAAAGCGTCGATATGCATGTCCCATTTTAGAGAATTGTCTACAAAAAACCCTAAGAATTTTACAGATTTTACGACGTCAATGGTGGTGTTGTTAAGTACAAAAGGCTGTAGCGAGTTTTTATACGACAAAGCTCTAATTTTAGAAATGTTGAAAATCAGGAGGTTCGAATCGCACCAAGATTTAATGGAGATTAAGTCATTTGATATAATCCTATGAAGTACCGTGACGTCCTTGTTGCTCCAAGTGAAGCTAGTGTCGTCCGCAAAAAGACATATTTTACCACTGATGTTTTTGTTAGCAGTTTTGTTAATAAAAAGAAGAAACAAAATAGGGCTTAGTACTGAGCCTTGAGGTACTCCACTAGCTGGTGCTCCGTGTTACTAACTTAGTATTGATTTGCCTCAATTTTTAGGGTTAGTTGAAATATAAAAAGAAAATATAATTTTCACTAGCATAGTTACTTCGAACTTTAAAATAATTTACAGCGATTCCTCTTGATCGATTTGCCTATATTTTCTTTAAGTATATACTATTTTAACGGTTCCCCAGTTACAAGTGACGTCCTCTTTTATTTGACCACCCTGTACAGTTCATACCAAATAATCGTTCATACAGTTCATACCAAATAAACTTTTAGTGACGTGATTATGCTTGACCGGCACAGCGTTGGCCGCTTTTATATATTTTCTTTTAATCAAAATATTCTAGGAAACAAAAATAAAGCCAGGAAACAATAGAAGACAAAATTGAAAATTCCTTAAAAAATATTGGAAAAAAAATTTTTCTCGAATATATTCGGAATTTTTCAAAATGCAATAGGGCATTTTATTGAGCATCAAATTGCGCAACTTTAACCGATCCTGTACCTCTTACGGTTTCCGAAATCCCAATGATGAGCGTCGAATTCGAGCCACCCTGTACAGGGTGGTTCAAATTCGACGCTTTTAAATGGAAACACCCTTTTCTATAGGAGATAGATAAAAACTAATATCGGTGTCTGGAGCTCAATTTTTGTCAAAAACATGAAGGTGAAAACCGCATATCGATATCTGTTACCGTTTCGGAGTTACCGGGTGTTTTTCAAAAATATGCATTTTTAACAAATCGCTGTAACTTTTTTGCTATGGAAAATTTTGCTATTTTTATGAAAACATTTCCAAAGCACCTTTTTACGTAGAATTTAATGGTTTAAGTATAATTTTTTTAAAATTAATAATTTAAGAATTATCAACAGAAAATTTGATTTTTTATATGGGACACCCTGTATATTTTTAATTTACTGAAAAGAATTTAAAATTACCTTTCCAAAAATATAACACACTTGATATTTTGCTCGATTCCTTTTCGAGATATAGAGTATATAAAAATTCGCCCGCTTTAAATAAGTAGGCTTTGAACGGCACCGGCTGTAATGCAAAAAAATTCTAGCTGTGAGCATCAATTAAAACGGAAATAATATTTGCTGTGAGAGATGCAGAATTTTATAACAATTTTAAATATATTTAACCAACATCTCTTCTTCTTTACGTGCCGTCTCTTTCGTGGAGGTTGGCGATCACATTGGCAAAATCTTCACGATTCTCGGCTTTCCCTATAAGTTCTTCAAAAGTTAGGTGAGTCCAGTTTCTGATGTTTCTCAACCAAGATAGTTTCTTCCTGCCGAGACCTCTCTTTCCTTCAATCTTACCCTTAACTATCAATTGTAAGACGTGGTATTTTCATTTCTCAATATATGCCCTAAGTATGATGTTTTTCTTATTTTTATTATATTGAGCAATTCTCTCTCTCTGCCTATTCTGTTGTAGACTTCGGTATTTGTGATATGGGCTGTCCATGGAATTTTAAGCATTCTTCGATATATCCATGTTTCGAACGATTCGAGGCGATTCATCTCTTGAACTTTCAGTG